CCCCCCCCCCCCCCCCCCCCCCGAAACACCACCCCATGGGCCTGGACAGCTGGGACAAATGCAGAGATCCTGGCTCGACAGATTTGGGGGTAAGGGGTGGGGGTGCCGAGGGCAGGCGAGTGTCAAGGTGATGGGGGGTGAGGAAGCTTTGATTCTGAACGTCTTCCAAAAGGCAGGCCGCTCCGAGGTGTCGGGAGCTATCTGCCGGAGGAGGGGGCGCGAGGGGGCTGGGGCTTGCATTCGCTCACACCCTGTCTGGTCAAGTCCGTTTGTGTATGTGGGCAAATTGCATCCCTAAGAAGGAAGGGAGATCACTCAAGCTCTAAGGCAAGTCATCTTCTAATGCTGTTTACTAGTATAGAGTACAACAGCAGAGCTGTTCCAGTTCTGATTGTTCCTGTGGTCTGGGGCCCATGACAGCATGTCATATTGTACCCCCAACCCAGACCAATCCAATTATCTTCCATTTTTTTTTCGGTCCCTGTCATTCATGAGCCCCTGGAATCATCTTAACTTCTCTCCTGGTGGCCCTGCCTGTGATCATCGATGAACCTGCTAATATAATCAAGAAAAGATCTGATCTTCCATCGAGCGGCAGACTTTACTTGAGATTTGATGCGAACAAACACAATTGCTTGCTCAAAAATAGTAATAGAAAATTCGGAAATGTGCCAGAAAAGAACCTTTCCCAATCAATGGCACAATAACGGAACTGTCGGCAGTGCGAAAAATAATCCTTTAAAAAAATATGTATTCAGCCAGGAGCTCAACGAAAGCCAAAACACTAATGACACGGAAATGTGATATTTGTAGAGCCACTCAGTTTAGCTTTTCTTTTATGACAGCGTAACAAAATGAACTCATTATAGTGACAGTATTCTTCCTATCAAATATTAAAATGCAATGAGTCATTTAATTCAAATATACTGACAGAGAATCTAATACGAAATTAAATAAGCTTTTTATGACACTGCATATATTTCACTCAGATTTCTAAAATATAGGGCAATGCATTTGAATGAATGTTTTAAAAGGAAAAAAACATTTATTATTATTCATATGCATGTAAAACTATGGCCCTACGTAACCTATTCCAATAAAAAAAAACAGTTAGTGTTTCAAGGACCTTAATGGTGCCAAATACTAATTGTTATTCAAGATTAAATAAAATCTAAAGTAAATATATAGGGCTGTTGACTACCCACATTGTTTCATGTTTATCAAGGGCTTTTATTAGTCCGGTATAACTAAACATTTTCTGCAAATTGTAACATCGGTGTATCGCTTAACATAAACAGCAGGGCGAAACTATACTAAGTTACTGTTTGTGGTGTTTCCCCACAAATATCTTTAATTCGCGCTTTACATTGAAATTGACCCTGGCTTTGAGGGGGGTGTTCTTTTTTTTCAAGCAGAAGACAAAAAGAAGCTGGTGATTGACTATTTCCTGGAGGGAGGTACCATTGACATCATTTCAAGTGTTTGGAGTCCGGTTTGGACTCGCTTCAATTGCTGCGTCGTTCGTCCGTAGACCGGTTTCAGAACCCGACCTGAAATGGATTCCCACTGAATACGGATCAGAAGTTACTGCAACGCTCTGCTTTTATTATCAGAGAAACCAAACCTGAGGAGGTTAACCGCATTTGTTTCAGGTATGGAAAGCAAATAATTTTAGTTGCACGAGTAGCCAAATCTAAATGCCTCATTTGGCCGTCTGGTCTCTATGGACCTCATTGCAACATTACGTTTGTTAATTTGTAAATGTTGTTTTTCTCCCCTGCTTTAAGTGAAGAAGCGCGCACAGCAATTTTTGCTTGAACTGTTCTGTTAACCTTTTGTTCAATCATACAATCAAATCAGAGTAAATCTCGCACGGGCGGCGGATCTTTGGTGTTTGCCATTCGTGTTTGGTGCTTAGCTATTGACGCCGTGAAACAATTGAAGTTCGAAATAAAATCATAAAGGCCCCGAAACGTGTTTTCTCTCTCATTTTTTTTCCAACGAATTCCACGTAGTTCATAAGTGGTTTAAAGTACAAGTACTAGTTTGCGTACTTAAACTCGCCATCCTCTCTAGAGTCACTTTAAATATTGCATGCCCACTATATTGTGAAATGTAAAAAGGATTTCAAACTTACCACCATAATGAGTTATTTTGTTTGCATTTTAAAATTCTTTTGCTAATAATGGTTCATTTATAGGATATTGGATTTAAATTCTAAATATGTAGTATGAGCTTGGTTATTAATGTTGCATTACTAAATTCCTGAGGCATATACGGTCTTAATCATAGGGGTAAATTAATAAAGGAGTGACCTTAAACCTATAAATCTTGAGCTTATGCGCATGATGTCTAGGTCTAAAATTATGAATTGTTTGTTAGGCTTTGTACATAATTAGCATTATGATCAGATCAATTTTTGATCCTGATTTTTTTTTGTCCTTAGTTCAGATTTCTTTTTTCTAAGCTAAGGGTTTTAATACTTAGAATTTGTGCTTAGTTTTTGTGGTGTATTCCTGAACAACCAAACTTCATGAGTGATACATTTACAAATTATCATACGGGGATGGATGTTACATTTCATATGATGATCCATTTGATTGTGGAACAGTAATGGCCTAATAATATCATTTAATCTATTTTCTTTTTAAATACTTTAATGTAGATTACATAGCTCTCCATAAGACTGGAGTTTTCTGATGTTTGCATATGTGATGGTCACACTATACCCAGTATATTAATGTCAGTGTTCACTAGTCTTCTGTGCCCATCTTGCACACTCAGGTATTTTCATCTTATTTCCTTCAATTTCAGAAATGATTCAGAGGAATGAAGTGGTGCTCTTTGTCCTGGGGGAGCTGCAGGAGGCCACGGAGTGTGAGGGCCTGGACTCGCTGGTCAGGGTGGCCCAGGAAGTAGAGCGAGCTCTGGCCACATTTCATCTCCCCACGACCCTCTGTGAGGAGTTCCAGGGCAAGGTGGAACTGGACCAGGTTGCCCACTGCCTCTATCCTGGGGATGCCCCCAAAGACATGGTGCCGCTGGCCTGCAAAGGGGAGGGGAACCTTCTGTTTGATGCAGCCAGCATGCTGCTCTTGGGAAATACAACCCTCAGTCTGGAGTTGCAAGTGAGGACTGTTGTGGAGATGCTGCTTTGGAAGAGGTACTACCTGAATGGGATGATAGACTCCAAGGTGATGCTCCAGGCCGCTCGCTTTTCCCTGTGCACAGAGGAGTCTGTAGAGATGCTCAACCTGCCAATGGCTGTCCTGGAGGCCATATTTGATGCAGATGTGAAAGCTTCCTGTTTCCCAGGCTCCTTTGCCAACATGTGGCACATATACGCCCTGGCATCTGTCCTCAAGTGCAACATCTACTCCATCTACCCAATGTACAACCTGAAGATTCGGCCATACTTCAACCGCCTCATCCGCCCCAGGGCCTTGCCCCAGTATTCCAGTCATATGACCCTCCATATCATGTGGTCAGGGGAGCTAGAGTCTATTTCTGTATTCAAGCCCCATCATTTTGTGGCTTTGGTCCAGCTGTCTGACCTTCAGAAGGGAAGCTGTAATGATGAACATCAAGGTCTGCCGTTAAAGACTTTGGAGCTTTTGAATCAGGACCCTCAACTCTCTTACTCCAGCCTCAAGGACCGGTACAACATCACAAAAAGTACCTTCTACAGGTGGAAGAGGCAAACCCAGGAACATCGGAAAAAAGCGGCAGCCAGGTATGAAGCCAAACATTTCCTCCAAGTATGTTACACAGAGGGAAAGCTCTTACCTCTTCATCAGTTCAAGGAGTTCTTCCCTGATATATCTCGCTCAACATATTACGCCTGGAAGCACGAGCTGCAAGCGTCAGGTGGTTGCTTCTCAATGACGGTGAACGGTGAAGAAGTGGGATCTGGGGAAAGTTTTGAGCAGAACTCCTGGCCATCCCCTGAAGGAAGCACCAAGACCCGCTGTGACGGTTTTTCTGGCCTAGTGAATCAGTCGGGCGAGAAGGTCGGAGCGGATCGAGCTCAAAACCTTGCTTTCATGCAAGAGGCAAAGAGATGCCTGCAGAACTGCATTGCTGTTAACACCTCCTTTCCATACAGGAATTTCAAGAGGAGTTTCCCTGGCATCTCAAGGTCCACGTACTACAATTGGAGGAGAGAGGCAATGCAGGCCAATCCTGGCTTCAAGGATTCGTTGGGAAGCAGCGAAGATGGCTCTGATGCTGACCCTACGCAGCACGATGCCCAGTGGACCAGCACCCCAAGGGTGAAGGTGTGCAGACAAAATCACAAGAGCTTTCAGACCTGCTACCTTCGAAAGAAGAAACTGAGGGACGAGGCCAAGAAACGAGCCCAGAGGTCAAAGATGACCTTTGCCAAGTTCAAGCTCAAGTACCCCTCTGTTTCATCCTTCTCTTATTGGAAATGGAAGAAGGGTCTCGGCCATAAGAAGGTGGCCAAAGAGCCTGTGACCTCAGCATCTGATTGGTCTGAAGTCTCAAATGACCCGAAGGTGCCATCAATGGAGTCGAATGCTCTTCCATTTGAGAAGAATGTAGAGCATTTGAATGGTCACACCTTGAGCCCTTATAATGTCACCTTGTCAGGGTACACTTTCCCAGAGAAGCATGCAGAAGAGCAGATGTTTGTCATGGATGTGGTGGCCTTGGCTAACTTCAAGGCTAAAGCCAAGCTGTTCCTGCAGCAGCGTTTCGAGGAGAAGTCCTTCCCCACCTTCAAAGAGTTCAGGTCTTACTTTCCTCTCACCCCCCGTTCCACCTACTACATGTGGAAGAGAGCATTGCACCATGGGCTTCCACTAGTTCATGGCTGATTGGTGGGTTGGGTTGGGGGGTGGGGTGGGTTGAGCTGGCAGTAAGTCTTAAAGGTTTTTTTTTTTTTTTAAAGCTACTTTTTTGGTAATAGCCTCAAGTAGGAGAAGACAAGCTTTTTCATGGGTCAGTTCAGCTGCAATGGGCAGTCTCTTTGGAGTCAGGCATCCAAGTGAAGTCTGAAAATATCTAATTGCAGTTTCAGCATCTTAAGTAGCTCTTCACCTATTCAGTGTTGCTTTCAACATGTCGAAATTTGCATGTGTTTGAAATAAGACCCTGACTCCACTTAAGACGTCCTGATGCCCTCTGGGCAAAAAGCAGTTTCAACTAGATAATGAAGGGTTGTCTTTGGAAATCCGGCTTTCTAAAATCCCTTTTGTCAATTCCAAAGTGGTGGGTCTGAAATCCCCTCCAACTCCTTCCATCCCCGTACCTTCTGGGTCTGACCTGCCTTCATTGCTTGTTGGCTGGATGCAATCAAAAATCAAATTCATTGAAGTTTTGTTCCCTATGTGCAGATCATGTTACAATTCCCATTAGTGTAAAGGAGAAAATGCCACCCCCCCCCCCCAAAAAAATGTTTTTGTTACACTTCACTGAAAGTTTAAAGGGCAAAATCGTTTCTCTGTTCACTGGGACTTGAGTACTTATTTCCTTACCTGTTTTGGGGAATTTCCTTGGAATGTTTTGGTGAAAATTGAGTACTATGAATGTATACCTGCTTTCTGAATGTTACTCTTCCCTTCCCCCGTGTGGAGAACGGTACTAAAGCTGTGTTAAAGGGGTACTTTTCTTTCCTAAAACCTTGTTTCCTTGAGTTTGAAGGCTTTGTAAGTATCACACAAGTTGAAATTGGCAGGAATGAAAAGGGGCTTTGCTGTGTTTATGCTTTTGATGACTATTTGTGCCATTCCTAAATTCTGGGTCCTGTTAGGAGACAAAGCAGATGTATGTATATATTGCACTAAGAATTTCTCTTGATGCGAGAAATGCGGAGCATGTGGTTATGTTTGCTGTTCGATCTTTATCTTTTTAGAATTCGCTCCATGATGTTTATTTCCCATCTGAGAAATGCGTCCACTATTCAGGGTTATATTAGTCCAAAAGATGATGTAAAATATATTTTTCTATTTTAATTTTCTGAAAATCCTCAAGCTTGTTTCTTTTCTCTCTGACTTTGATTTAGGGATACCTCAGTCATATGGGACATTTTATTTGATTTTATATTGAATTATGTTATAAGCTCCAGGATTCTATGTGAAGAACATCCTTCTCCCCCAAGACATTAGGTAACATTAAGTAAATGGTTTCCTGTTTTTTGGATTGTTCCTACTCTGAATCACTTTATTCTTGTATTTTTTTTCACTTGGTTTGTGCATGACCAAAATGAACAGTGTAAATATATCTATTTTCAGTGGAATGCGGAAAATGATTTTCATTGTGAAACCAGGAAATCAATAAACTGTCCACTTAAGTTGTCTTGTACTGTGATGTCCTTATAGAGAGTGTTCTTCCGTGACTCAGCAGAGGACATTTTGTACACTAATTCTGTTACACATGAAGGGGAAGGATATTAATTGCTGCTAATGTATAGTTTAGGGCAGTGATTCTCGACCTATTTTGTTCCACCACCAAATTTTTAACCTGTCACGACCATATATAGCAGTGTTTCCCAACCCTGTCCACGTGTTTTGGCCCTTCCCAGCTCTCTGCCAGATTTACTGCTTTACTATATAACGGTGTGTCCCAATCCAGTCCTTGGGGACCCGCAGACAGTCCACGTTTTTGCTCCCCCCCCCCAGCTCCTGGTAATGTGGACTATCTGGCAGGGAGCTAGGAGGGAGCAAAAATGTGGACTGCTACCTGGAGGTTCTGTTCAGCATTCACTTTGTTTCTGTTTTTGTTCTTTAGCTGGGTGAGAGCAGAGAAGCCAGCCTTACATAAGTATGGTACTGAAAGGCAAAAATCACTCTGAGTGCAAACTCACCTGCAACGCTGGCTCTGAACTCGCCGAGTTCAGTATGGTGATCAAATGCTCGGTGCATTGGCAATCTATGCCAATCAACACGTATCAAACAAATCTGACTGGTCATGCCTGTGCATTTGAAATTAAACATCTGGGGTTAGGCTTATTTGATTGCGTATTCGGTGATTGAGTGTTTTGCACTAAGCAACTGCAGAGCCGGGATTTGTTTATGAAGAATGCTGGGATTGGGTCTGGAAAATCTGATCATAGATTAGCATTTAGGAGCTGGCTGGTTTTTAAATGTTTAAATTTCCAACTCTGACTCACAACCCTTTCAGAACTTGCCGTGACCCATAAGTTGGCAAAGAGTAGTAACACTTTACTTAAGGGGACACAAATAATATACTATGATACTCTTAAATAATGATGATGAACTAACAGTTACTTAGTTTGTGGTTAATATATTAAATCTTAGTTACAAGCAAACGACTAATTATATACTTTACAGCAATTCGTGAAATGTAGTTACACCTCACTTTATTGGGTACATAATCATTATCTACCTACTAGGTACTGGTAATCATGGTTCTCATGAACCAGTAAGTAGGTTTGCAGAAGTAAAAAGATATGAGAACTGACCACTACTTATCTATTAGTTCTATTAATTAATGTACTTATATATTTACCTTGTTCATTCATCCTTAACCAGTTGTAACATTTTTTTTTCTTTTACATTTAAAATTTTTTTTTTTTACATAACTAACAGTTACTATATTTGTTAGGTTTATAGAATCGACAGGAACAGCGACGCATTAATGTAGCCACTAGATGGCGATGGTGAGCTGTAAATGCTGTCTTTCATACAAGGCGTCGTGCGTGTTTCTTGACTGCTTAGCGTCACTTTATTTTAATACGTATACCTATATTAATTCTGCGAATATCAGTTTAATTAAACTTTAAACATTGTTTATTGGCTTCCCAAAAATCATAAAACGTAAATACCTGGGGAATTTAAAGGACACTAAAGCGAAATATCACCGCACTCTCTACGTTAATTAGCTCTTCCACACTGCCGCTTCTCTTCAAAATTATTTCTTTGACCTCCTTCCCGAAGAAGTTACAATGAATAAGTATAGTAATGTTCTCCCTTCCAGTTAATTGAAAAGGCAAAGCGTACTCGAAATATTGACTTTTCTATAATCATTAAGTAGTTAATGGGAAGAGATGCTAATCCGGGAATTTTCAGAGGAGGAAAATTTTCATGGGAATTTATGGGAAGTAATGTGTGTGTGTGTGTGTGTGTGTGTGTGTGTGTGTGTGTGGCTGGAGAATTAACTCTGTAAGGTGCTACTGAGAACATGGACAGCCAAGATGGTGTGGCAGCAGAAGCTCCTGAGCACTTCCTGGATGGGAGACGGGTGAGCAGGCCATGGTTGGACTGAGAGGGACCCTCGGTGATCCCACTCACCCTTCACAGGCAGCCCTTATGCTGACCATCTCTGCTGATGAGTTGCTGGGTGCCAGTGATGTGCTGGATGGTTTAATCCGCTCGTCAGAGAGTCTTCTGTCCTGCTTCTGTACAGCTGCGGTACCACACTGGTACACAGTTTCTGAGGACGCTCTCAGTGGTAGACAGGTAGAAATTCACCAGAATGAGGGGGAATAGGTGAACTTCCTTAAGTAGCCTCAGAAAGTCGAGCTGCTTGTGTGCCTTTTTATGAGAATTGGTTTTATTGAGGGCCCAACTATGAACTTGGGAGATGTGGACACCTAGGAACTTGAACTTCTGGTTGTTCTGGGCCATGATGTTGGTACACAGACGCTTGACCTTGAGCTGAGCTAAAAGCGATGAATAGCATCCTAACGAAGGAGTTGCTGTTGTCCTGGCGGTTCGAATCAGAGCATGATGAGGTGATGGCGCCCTCTGTTGATCTGTTTGAGCGATAGGCAAACTGATGTCGATCCAGTGTTGGAGGCAGACTGGGAGAGAATCCCAGTACTTCTAAACCCACCCAACACGCTTCTCTGCCCTGTCCCGCCTCAGTGTCGGTCTTAATGGTGCAAAACTGCATTGAGCACCAAGACCTTTTTCATGTTGTCACATTACCTCTGCTGGGCTGTGTCTCCTCAATACTGCTGGAGATTTACCATGCGATGAGTTTGCATACCTTCCCCCACATGTGTGTCCTTATTCCATGCTTTCTGGGATAGGATCCAGGTCCCTGCAGCCTTGGTCAGCTAAATGTGAACAGTTCTGTTTAACTTACTGTGGAAACAGACCATGTAGTACTCAGGGGGCAGAATGGAGCGACATAGGAAATGTTACTATAAAGTTAATATCTTTTCTTCCCAAACAAGCCTGGTCCTTTACTTTAGGCCATGCTGGAGCAGCGTGTTTGCCCATCAAGCATCTGGCTTTGATAAGCTCGCCCACTATTTCACTGGGCTGGCAAATTCAGCGTATATAAAAAGAGTGAGAAATGTGGCATTGAGGCCAGAGGAAGTCAGCAGTTAAGTTAAATATGGAAGCTGCTTTTTAAATGTTGAACACTGTGGAGCAGGTGACTGTGTAGGTGGAGGGGAGGGAGGGGAGGGGTGGGGGGTGGGGGTTAAGTTTAACATTTTGCATGCATTTGGGGGAAGTACAGGATGCTTTATATAGTTTGACTTCCATTCACAGCCCCCCAGTTTCAATGAAGATAATGGAACAATTAAAGTAAATGTCAAAAGCCATGTCCTGGGTATTAACTGCGATTCGCAGTGCGTCACGTGCAGGGAACCTTTAGCTCCATGTTTGTAGTCCGAATAGAAATTCTGGGACCCCTCAAATGCACGATTCCCAGCACGCGTTTTGCCGTTGCATTCGATCGGCATGCGGATGGGCTGATGTGGGCACTTGGGGTTTATTTGGATGAGGTCTGTGTGACGGGGGGCGAGGGGGGGGGGGCACCAAGCTGGGGCCGACATCCCTGCAGTGGTAACTAAACATTGCAACTCGCTTCAGTGGATTTGCTGTGCAATGAGGTCGCTGTTGGTGCATTCGCGTTCGCTCCACTGCAGCTCTGCGGTGATGATGTTTAACGTGGCCCTATAGTGTTAAAATCCCCCCACAGCACTGGGGCGAAGCCTCAGCTAATCAGGACGTGCTCTTCTAATACATTTGCTCTCACCCATCCTGCTTCGGCTCCAAATTAAGATCGCACGTGCCTGACAAATTGTCTGTGGCAAATGTGTCCGCAGTGCCTGGCAACATGCGATATTAATGCATGTGTGGCGGAAAATTGACCAAACCCGGCCTTTCCGCTGCGATTCTGCGTTATTTTTGGCTGAGGGTCTGCTGTCAGTCTCGACTGCTTTTTCAGGACCTTGCAGATAAATGTATCTTTGACACCTTGCTTCCTACAGTGATGTTTTTCGTGACCATGATGGATTTTGCTGTATCTCTTTCAGGACCGAGATATGCATCAGCTGTAGGCATAATAGGCATCAAGATGGCAGGTGATGATAGCCAAATCAATGGTAGTCCCAAGATTCAGCATTCTAACCTATTTTTTTTTTTAAATAGATTTTGCCAGAACATTTTAGCCCCTTCCCCAGTACCATAATGCCACTGATCAATAGATTATTAACTAAGCTTTTTGTAGAGTGTTTTGCAGTGAAGTGTAGCTGTATTACATCTTGGCTGTGTGTAGTTAATGCTTGAATCAGTATAAACTCCATTTATTAGGAAACTTCATTGCATAGTCTAGCTGCAGGTTCAAGACGGAGGCTGACCCGTAGGTGGAAGCACCGAGCTTAGGAGTAACATGCCAGTAACATGGAACCACAAATGCTGAAATTTGGGACATCCCAGCAGCCCTCCATGCACTGTGTTCACACTGATTGCCCAGATGGCTTCGGGTAAACGCTGCTCGCCTTATCGAGTCTGGGGAGCTGGTTTTGTCTCTAACCTTAATCCTCTTGTCGAAATGAAGAACTGACATTCCAGTTCAGATCTGAGAGCTGCCACTAATGCTGGACCTAACAACAACAGCTGAGTAGTGTTCTGTTCATCTGGCTTAAGATCAACTCAAACTCACACCGGTGACTCAAACTATAACTGCAGCAGAAAAGTACATATCACCAAAACGAAACAGAGGTGCCGCAATGCACTGCGCCCCGTGATGTACCGTACCCTGCACTGCACCCGGTTATGTACCGTACCCTGCACCGCACCCGGTGATGTACCGTACCCTGCACTGTGCCCCGTGATGTACCATACCCTGCACCGCACCCGGTGATGTACCGTACCCTGCACTGCACCCGGTGATGTACCATACCCTGCACTGTGCCCCGTGATGTACCGTACCCTGCACCGCACCCGGTGATGTACCGTACCCTGCACCGCACCCGGTGATGTACCATACCCTGCACCGCACCCGGTGATGTACCGTACCCTGCACCGCACCCCGTGATGTACCGTACCCTGCACCGCACCCGGTGATGTACCGTACCCTGCACCGCACCCG